ACCCAGGGCCGGCAAAGCCCCCTTGGCGGAGCTGCCAGTGCTGGGGAGAGGCTGCCGGCCAAGTGCCCACAGAGCATCGCTCACTGCAGCCACCTGTGCTGCCGCACGGCCCCCTGGCCGCGTCCCCTGCCAGCCAGGGCGCGCACGAGCTGCCAGCACTGAGGGGGTGAAGAGCCTGTGGCCGGCGTGATGTTTAAAATAAAACTAGAGCCTTTAAAAATGTCAGCTTTGACTCTCAATGTGTTTGTAAAGTTGCGGTAAGTGGGTTTCTGTGTCTTGTGCTTGTGTCCCCGTTGCTGAAGAATAGCGTGTCATGAGCCGAGGTGCCCGCTGGTGCCTGTCCTTGTCTCATGCATGTCCCTGGCATCGCCTCTCATCCCGCGGTGACCTTACCCCCTGAGATGGAAAATCTTATCGAGGGCACTGTCTGTGTGGGCCCGTTCCCTTACATGACTGTTAAGTAGCAGGATTATGTCAAGTGATCGCTATTCAGCTGGCTCACTGGTCCAGGGGCTGCATGGTCTGATGTCATGTGCAGGGCTGGTACAAAGTTTTTTTTCTTTTTAAGAAGCAAATAAATGTCGGCTGGTCTCAGCAGAGTGCTCACCCACTGAGAGATGCCTGTGGCTTTCGCCACGACTGGACATCAGGGACTTTTCCGAACGTGACATGTTTAATATAAGGTGCCGCAGGCTTGGAAGGTGAATGTAGATGCTCAAGTCACTTGCCTGTCTGCAGGCCCTGGTTTTGCAGCGTCTTCACCCTGCTCCCTTGAGGATTAAATGGGAAGGCAGAAAAGGATGATTGAACAGCACGGGAGAGAGGAGTTGTGGAAAGGCGCAGCTGATCCTGGGGAGGTGGGAGGAAAGCTCTGCAGGGACAGAGTCGTGTTTTAGCATTGCACATGTGAGCGTCGCCTCCGGAGCGCAGCTTAACCTACCGGGTCATCTGCGGGACCTGACTGCCCTCAGCATTCGTTGTAGTGAATCCCAGCGCGGGGCTGCTTCCCGGCTGCTGAATTGGAGCCAGCTGGCCCAAGAGGCTCCCCGCGCCCACCAGAAGCCACGCGGGAAACGTCAGCGCTCCCACAGTTCCTGCCCGCTCTCTCCTTCCTCCTCGAGGCTTTGGCACGGCATGGGCTGCTGGGAGGACGGCATCAGGTGACTAGACCGCGACATGAGGTACTGTGTGATTTAGGATCCGGCAGTGCCGGGGCACCGGCTTCGCATAGGAGCGTATCTGGTTCCCTGAGGGGATCCCCTGTGCCAAAGACCTCTCCAGAGTGGAGACCAGCGGTCTGGAGGGAGGAGATGCTGGTTTATCTGGACCAGACCATCCTTTTGTGAGCGGTGCCGTGGGGTCTCGGGGGGTAGGAAGGACGGACGGGTCATACTGTCCAGTAGGCAGGCGCCGAGCCCCACATGTTTGGCCAGCTCACGGGTGTCGCTCTTGCTGTAACAGCAACCTGGATAAATCTGATGTTTTTGATCCCAGTGCCTCAGGCCGTGATCTGCTTGTGGTGCAAGGGGAGGTTGTCGTCAGCACTGCCTCCTTTGACCTTGCTCGGGAGGACTTTTTTTCACCTGGTTATGCAGAAAGGGGCTGTTGTCAGGGCAGCCTCTGGCTCTGGGGCTGCTCTCCCGTGATTTGCCCAAGTGCCGAGGGGCTGAGGAAGGGTCTGACCCTGCTTGGAGCTGAGCAGGGGTGGCAGCCCAGGGAACCAGGACAGGCATCTTGGAGCTGCTGTGCCAAGGCCAGGTCTCTCGCATGTACCATGGCACCAAGGTCGCTTTCTAAGCATTTGTAGGGAGCATCTGCGGACACAAGAGGCTGTTGTGAGAAAGGGAGGAGCCAGGAGGTGTTTGAGGAGATTGAGGAAGCCCCGGGGGGAGGATCAGCAGGTGAGTGCCAGCTGCAGCAGTGGACAAGTAGCTGCTGACCTTGACTGCCCAGCTCAGAGTGAAGCTGGGTTTACTCACATCCCCTTCTATAACAGTCATGGTAATGACTTGTTTTTATGGTTTGGTGCAGAAGGGGAGCTGCGCGGAAAGGGGGGCAGAGGTGTGTGGCCCCAGCGAGAAGATGACTGGTGTGGCAGCGCTGTGACCATGTGCAGCTGCGCTGGGTGCTGAGGGTGTCTCCCAGCATGTCACCCAGCAGGGAGCCGGAGAAGAAAATCCGCAAAGCCGGGTTGTCTGGATGGCGTTGATTGCTTGCCCTTAAGAAAACGACCTTTCAGGCCAATGTTAGGGGCTTCTCGCAGTCTTCCCATCACATGGGAAGGGCAGAGCTCCAGGTGTCATTGGAACAGATCAGTGGTGGGTACGGGGTAGAGCATCTTGTAGCGCCTGTGTGGGCTTGTTAAACACGTCTGCTCTTTGCGCAGAAGCTGGAGGGCTCCTGCTGGAGGCTGTGCCAGTACAGAAATGTGCTGGCATTTAAAAGCCTGGATCTGGAGATGCTGTGGGATGCTCTTTACGCCTGCGTAGGCTTTCTCATGCCTCCAGCAATAGCGCGGCACTGCTGCTGTGCCGGCTGTGCCACCGCTTCTTGCCTCTGCAACTGCCCCTGAGGCTGCAGGGGCAGGTAACCGGCAAGCGCTCGGCATCCTGCTGGAATAAACCACCCTCCTGCCCTCATCCGTGTGAGCTTCCCTCTGTCCCGGTGGGCCTGACCCCAGCCGAGCCCTTTATTCATCTCCCCTTGCTGTTTCCAGCAGAAGTTCACAGGCTTGTGAGCTCTTCACAGAATACCAGAATGGTTAAGGTTGGAAGGAATCTCTAGAGATCATCTAGTCCAACCCCCCTGCTCCAGCAGGGTCACCTAGAGCATGTGGCACAGGGTGGCATCCAGGCAGGTTTTGAAGATCTCCAGAGCTGGGTGCCTGGTCTTCCTCTGGAGCTAATGTAAAGTGACTGTGCTGTGGCTGGCACAGAGGGAACGCAAATTGGTGACTCAGATCATCATAATCAATGGGACCATTGAGACAGCTGGGACAAAAAGGTGCACTTCCAGGCTCTCCCAGCAGCCCTCTGCTGCAGAGTGGCTCTTGCCCGAGGCAGGCTGACTTCCCGACCCTGGGTGCCCAGGGCTCTCTGGAGCACTGTCCACGTGCACGGCCAAGGAGGGGGCATGGTGCCCTGTGGCGCGCCTTGGAGCTGGTGGTCGCCAGGAGCATCTGCTCATGGACAGAATCGGGATAGGAGGGATCATTGGGTAACCTGCACGACCTCAAAGGAAAGGCAAAGGCTCAAACCTTCACCATGTAGAAATCAGTCTGCTGGAAGGGCCCAAGAGGATGGAGCTGCTTAGCACAGCAGCTGGTGACAGGCTTGGTCTGCCCAGGGCAAGACAGGGCAGTTTGGAGAAAGGATGAGGTGGGAGCCCCAAAACCTGAGCGTTTTGTGAGCTAGAGAACGGGATGTGAGCATGACAGCTCAGCGGAAAGCAGCCAAGGGCAGAGGACAAGCTGGGGGCAACCTCTGGAGAGCAGCCTGGCGTTCAGTGAGCACCAAGCTGGGCGCTGTGCAAGGCAGGGCAGGGCAGGCCGTGCCTGGGAGGGACAGCAGTGCACAGGGCTGCTGGTGGTGAGTGGGTCTTGCTCACTTTGATTCTGCTTGGAGTAGCTGGTATTGTGTCTCTCTATGAGCACTACTGGTTTTCTATGACTCTGCTGGCTTTTGCTGCTCCAGCAGCATGCCTATGGAGTGAATTAATTGCTCATCCGTTTCCTTCCTGGGGTTATGGCCACGGCGTTTCCAATGCCTTAGTATAGGCATGGCTCTGTCCTAAGCCACCCACATGATGGAGAAAGTGAAGCCAGGGAGCTGCTTCTCTCCTCTGACCTCACCCTGTTGTGTCACGCTATGACGCTTAACTGCCTCTTATGCCACTTAGTATTTCTGGCTGATTGCAGCACTTAGCTGAACACTCAAAGGGAATGCAAGTCAGGCTAGAAAGTGTTTTTAATATTTTTTTTTAAAAAATGTGGCCCCCTCTCCTCGCCGCGTCCCCAGGGGCTGGGGAGCCAAGCTCTGCCCCCGCCCCGCCCCGCCCCCACCCCGTGCTCCGTACGGGCGCTGGCAACGCCTCTGGGCGGCTCCTATATAACAACTCGTGGCGCTGCTGTAGTGCTTCTGTTCCTCGGCGCGCTAGCGTGTCTGCTCTGCGGCACCCCACTCGACTTCACTGCTTGGGAGGAAAACGTGGGCTTGAAGTGACCGCCGCGATGCAGGAAGAGGCAGTGCCGTGACAGGCGCATGCTGGTGCAATTCCCAGTTGCCGGCGTGCGGTGCTTTACGTTACAGAGAGCTGTCTTTCTGCTTTCAGGAACAAATACTCAGCTCCAGGCAGCATTGCTGTCATGGGGAAGGACTATTACAAGATTTTGGGCATCCAATCCGGAGCCAATGAGGATGAAATCAAGAAAGCGTATCGGAAAATGGCCCTAAAGTACCACCCCGATAAGAACAAAGACCCCAACGCCGAGGAGAAATTCAAGGAGATTGCAGAGGCCTATGATGTGCTGAGTGACCCCAAGAAACGAGCTGTGTATGACCAATACGGGGAAGAAGGTAAGGTGACCAGCACTCTTGCTCAAAGGCAGGGCTGACCTGGGTGCAGAGGCATCCCGGGTTGCTCTCCGTTCGGACCTAAGTAGGTTTTTATAGGCAAAGGAGCGTTTTTATACCCTCCTGTGTAGCAGGCATTGAGCAGCGTAGCCAGAATTCTCCCCATGATTCACCCCTGCCTCCGAAATGAGGTTACTAGTAGCAGAGATGGGGAGAACAAGCGCTCTGCCACGGCTGCTTCGCCCTGCACATGGAGATAATCCCTCGACCCACTTCTCCACTGGCTGCTCCCGGCAGGGCGGGGCCACCTCTGTGAGGCCCGTGCCGGCAAAATTTTAGGCAACTCCAGCTCTCCCTGCCCATGGGGCGGGCAAGGAGGCACCTGGCAGGGACCCAGCCCCAGGTGGGCAGCGCAGACTGCCAGGGAGCCATCTGGCACTTCCAAGCTCTTTAGTGATGCCTCCCAAGGCTGAAGCACTTGCTGAGATAACAGCAGTGAAAGGAGTTCGACTCCTGGGTCACACACAACGTTTTTGTTGACCTGAATTTTCTAGCAGATAACCTTTCCTTTTGCCTTGATTTCCCCTCCGCAAGGCCCTTGTTAGCATGCTCTGAGGTGCCATTTGTGAGTTGTTCCCACTTTTCTCTCTGGTACAGCCTGACCTACAGGATTCAAAGCCTTTCCCAATTTAAGTAATAGGTTCTTGTTTTGAAACCAAGTGGCTGCTGTTGTCTCCTGGTTGGCATGGAGGAGGAGAGCCGCTCCGCCACCCGCAGCCTTATTAGTTGAGTATGGAAGTCTGCAACTCCATTTGCTGAGGGTGAGGAGAGCAGTGAATAGCATCTGCATTAATCAGCCAAGGACTTGGGTGCTTAAAAGATCAGGTCTAGTATAAACAGGCAGCTCAGTGGAAGATGCAGCCCCTCCTGCAGGCCCAGCAAGCGGGTGCCTCCCCTGTGAGACACCAGCAGACACAGGCAGTGCTCGGAGACGCCTTCATCAGCCTGGGCCTGCTCCTGGCAGGCACAGACCCTGCCCCTCGTAAGCGCGCGAGGCTTAGGAGGATACAGACACTCTTGCCCCGACTGATGTAGTTATATTCACTGCCTGCAAGTTTCTGGGGAACTAGAAACATCAGAAACTTAAGGGAAAAGCTGAAGAGCTCCATGGAGAAGTTGCCAGAGGCTCCTCATGCTGTTTGAAAGCAGCCTCCAGGGTGTGAAAGCACAGGCAGACCTGGAGAAACTCCTTGCTGAATCCTGCTTATCTAAGCAAAAATACAGGGCTGTGGAAAACTTTGGAAAATCTTTGCCTGGCAATCCACACTGTCGCTGTTGCCTTATACCAGTTGCTTAGCAAGTTAATATATCACTGCTGCGAAGGGCTCGCTGAAGCACAGTGATTTGCAGCTGTCTAAAATTAGACGTGGCCATCTCAAGCAAGAAACTGTCTTTTCCTTGGAGGCGCTGTCAAAATCAGACCCTGTTTTCCCATTGGTCTGGCTAGTGCCTCGGGAATAAAGTGAAGGTAAACAGCAATTGCATAAAAACTGAGACCTCCTGGCTGTACAAACTGTTATGGACAGGGGCTATCTGAGGACAGGTGGAAACTCCATGACCAAAGGCAGCTAAAATAAGTGAGTTGAGTAGTGAGGAAAAAATCATAGAATGCTTAAGGTTGGAAGGGACCTCTAGAGGTCATCTAGTCCAACCCCCCCTGCACATGCACGGTCACCTAGAGCACGTGGCACAGGACTGCATCCAAGCGGGTTTTGAAGATCTCCAGAGAAGGAGACTCCAACCTCTCTGGGCAGCCCGTTCCAGGGCTCTGGCACCCTCACTGGGAAGAAATTTTTCCTTAAGTTCCTGTGGAACTTTTGGTGCTTCAGTTTGTGGCCATTTCCTCTAGT